AAAAAATACGTGTATCAAACATCATAAACATGTATGTACATGTACAATATGACTATTCCACATTTCCTTTTTAAAAAACATGAGACGTGTGTAGAAGATGAATGTATTATTGAAAAATTCGTACGTATTTGTATAATAGATTATTAAACGTGAAAGTGCTAATTTCTTTATGCGGGTAATAACTCTGGAAAAGTAAAAAATTAAAAGGGGACAATAGAGACTCGATTAATGATCTAATAGTAATGGATAACTACTCTCATCGATAAATGACAATCGAGGAAAAAAATTAAAAGAAAAAAAGGATCCCAGTGCATAAGTGTATATATATATATATATATAGAGGGCTTCTCCATTGCGAACTCCCACAATGCGGATTTGTTACGAAGTTGAATTTTTGACCGTGCGATTGATTTGAACGGTTCACATCTATTCTTCCTCTTCCTGAGTTCACTCCTCTCTCATCTCTCCTCTTTCTTTTTTTATTCTTCTTTTTTCTTTCCTTTCCTTCTCTCTCCTCCAGTTTTCTTCTCTCGTCATCTGGCGATTTTTTTTTTCCTCTCTTCTGACTAGTTGGACATTATTTTGAAAGGGCTATACTTAGTTTTGTATTCCCTTTGGCGCGCACGTGTAAAATAGTATAGCTGTGCCGCTATACCTGAAAAATTAAAAAACTAAGTATAGCCCTTTCAAAATAATGTCGTAAAATGCAAATGCTTTATATTTATAGTTGGGGCCCAAAGGGTTACAGAATTTAATTAGCAATAAAATCTAATCAACCTAAAGTCAGCTAAATTGTCCGGCCGTTAGGAGCATCTCCAACCGATATATCAAATTACCACGTGGACATTATATAATATGATATTTGACATTTTAGGTGGAGTTAATTTTTTATGAAGTATCAAATTGTCACATAAGCCAACAAATTCAAATTTAACACTTTGCATTTGACATTCCCTTGTAGATGCGCTAAAATGGGCAAGCTAGTCAATTACAAGTTAAGATGTAAAAATTAAAAAGCAAATCAATTTAAGAGAAAACCGGTCACTAACTTGCATGCTCTATACCAAATAAGCAACATGAGATCTTTTGAATAATCCATATGAATAACCTTTGATGAGATGATGCTTCTAGTTGTGATTTCTCTAGATTCAGAATTCAAATAAAGCCATCAAGTTCATATGCATGAGAATGAGAGCTCTCTAAATATATATAATGGTGCAAAAGGGTTTAAGTTATTGATACAAGAAATCAATTTAAATTGCATGCTTAAACTTCAAAACTTTCTCCTCTACCTTTTTGTTTCGGCAGTAAATGGTCCTTAATTATCTTTACAGAGTCCTTCCAGTCTCACGGAACTTGGGGTGCATCCCATGTCACCTGGCCACGAGTAGAAAATGTACTATTCATCGTTCTTGTGAGAATGAATATGTCATTAGAACATAATATATGCACCAACCAAACAAAAGGTAAAGCCCCAAGAAAAAGATCCAAGCAAACAAAGACACAGTTAATGTGACCGGCGATGAGGTTTAGGGTTTGAATCTATCACAATCAAATGGAATTGGAATTGCAGGGTGTGATTTGATTTCCAAATATGAACAAATATGTGAAAAATATGTGTTCAAAGCATTCATTAACATAATGCATTTTGGGAAAGTGAGAAGCAAGATGCAAAAGAGATGTATTACAAAAACTCATGCATAAGTGTTAATATAGCCTTCATTTATTCTCTCCTCCAGGCCAAACCAGTTATGAAGTTAGTAAAAAACCACTTACATAATCCTCAAAGTTCTAGGAATAGCTTTCAAAGTCTGTAAGTAGTTCTCATGACATTTCTTCAGACACTGCAGCTGTACAAGGACAAAGGAAACAAAATTCATGATCAAGTACAAACCACAAGAAGAAGTAATCCAATGTGGGAATCATCATAAAAGATAATGCAATCATCATTCCAGATGCATGAGAAAATGACAGAAAAGACAGCTTAGATTCAGCAAATGCAGGGAAGGATTCATTACAATAAGAAAAAGATTTAAATAGAAATTAATCTTTCAGGAGTGTTTAGAGAAGCATAAAACACTAGCAAGACTCTGCAGAGAAAAAGCAAAGCAGGAGCAATCATAGACTCATAGTTGGGGACTTACTCTAGCTCTTTCAGCAACCAGATGTCGGGGTAACTGCCACAGGGTCCCTTCAATATCATCAGCATCCATATAATATTCTCTTGCCTCTGTAATCGGATTTCTTTGTAATAAAAAATTAAGTTAAAGAAAATTAATACGAATCCCACACTACATCAGCATGCAATAAACTGCTGTATTTAGAAGTAGTCAAGTATAGAAAGAAAAGAAAAAGTATCCTCACAAGTCACAAGACTCACAACACATGAAACAGTAAAAGGATATTCCCTTCTCTTGGATCAAGGATCACGCTCAGAGTAGATTTCCACTCTTCTCTGATTAGTGCAGCACCAATGAGGTAAGTTGGGGGTGAACCAGTTGCCAATCGCTGAAGTCAGAATGCAGTTCGATAAACCATCAAGCAAAATTTAATCCATCGCATATTCGATAAACCATCTTTTTGTCACATGACATCTTCTGGGTAAAAAACAGACCAGCTGGCCTTTTACAACAGAACTGTCGTCTTTTAATGGCTTTGTAGTATCTTTGCAATTGTAAAAACAAGAAACCTCTTATTGCAAAAAGAAAAAAAGGAACAAGATACCCAATCTCAATAACATCTAGCCTTTTAAGTGCACTATTATGCAAATAAATAGTCTCAATCAGGATAATAGTACAATTCCAAAAGATACAACACAAATAATCAGGGGGGAAGAGAGAGAGAGAGAGAGAGAGAGAGAGAGAGAGCAAATGAGATGTATTATGCAAGAAAATACAAATAGATAGAGGGAAGATGCTTACCTCAATGTTACAGTAAATCGATTTCCCAACAGTTGGCCAAGGACAAGTCCTTCCCTCACATAGCTGGAGAAAGGCAACTATTACATGAGCATGCATTACAAACCAAATGGATAGAATATAAATAACCCACAATTCTTGAGCCTTATCAGACATCACCTACTTTGATACCAATCAACATATCATTAAGAGCAGCTAATTTACTTGCAAACTGCTTAAAAACAGTTACCCGGAAACACAACAAGAACTAATGAAGCACCACCCTGCAACAGACGTATTAGTTTTAACAAATTCATTAAATATTTTAGCGACCATTTTGCTGGGGCTAGAATAACTGATATTCAGAGGATTGGTACTAGAAATCTGTATTTCCAGGGACTTATTAACTTATTATGACTTATAACGAAATTCGACCTATGGAACATGGGTCAAACTCCTATTCCCACACACCGAGAGGATTGGTACTAGAAATCTGTATTTCCAGGGACTTATTATGACTTATAACGAAATTCGACCTATGGAACATGGGTCAAACTCCTATTCCCACACACCAATTTGAAAACAAATAAAAGATGAGCTTCTATAGCTTGGTTCAAAGATATGTAGTTTTAAACAGCTTTATCAGAAGTCTAGCATATGAATGCCAACAAGAATAAACTCAAGCAAATATTTCTTCTAGATAAGAAAATACAATGTTTAGAGGGATAAGCAGCAAAGTTAGTATCAGTTACCCATGGAGTTGAGACAGCGTGGTTATATATCCCTTGTATCTACAAACCGAAACATCTTCTACTTGCCACTTCTGCAAAATTACAGCTTATACCACACTTTCCCAGTCTCTCACTAGTGTAAGCTATTATGTTCACCTTTTCTTTCTTTTTCTAATACGCTATTATGTTCAGTTTGTAACCAAAAAATTCTTAAGTTTCAGTACCACAAAGAAAAAATCTTTATCATTATCATAGTCTGTCAGTTTCAGGATCCAAAATGAGGCATGCTAGTTTAGGTTATTTTAACTTTGCCAAGAACACAGTCTAAGCATATATGATAATTGATATAATTAACTATCACCTTTCACTCTACTTAAGCAACAATTATCTACATTGACAACTAGATACGAAAATAACAATAAACAACAAATGGAGAAACAAATATGTAAAAATGACTTCATGATTAAAACTATTTCAACTAAAACTATCGAAATTCATCATAGTTTTTGGTGTTCCCAACTTGAACAGGATCAGGTCCAAGTAAATATTACAAACAACATTGATCATAAGGCCTATTTGTTGTTGTAGTAGCAGGATTACTAGAAATCTTTATGAAGTTCTCTAATATAATTCAATTTGACTAATCCAGGCTTTGCTAATATTTCTTTTCTTTTTGTGAAAAGAAACAAATTTTTATCAAAGGAAGCAACTAGACAGAAGAAACAACAGCCGTGAACGAGAACTTCACAGCCAGCTACAGGAAATAAAATATAAACAGAGAAGACTTCAACAGGACTAGGCTATAAAAAGACCAGGCCAAAAACATAAGAACTCAAACCACCACAGCCTTTCCAGTCTAGAAAAATGGAGAAAGTAGTCTTTAAATTCAACCGAAACTGAAGCCCACAAGGCTGACAGGAACCTAACTTTGCCAATAATATTATGAACATTCTAAGCATCCAATATAAGGAAGCTGGACAAGGCTATCTGATTTCCGGAGTAAAGCAAACAGCAACAACCATTTCATGAATATCAGTCAAGTCCACGATTGGTGGAGCAAGAATGCTCTATATCAAATCTTTGTGTCAAGTTATCGACAGATAAAGCATTTGTCCTCCAAGGTTTGAACTTGCAAACCAGTATCACTTGTTAAACTTAAAAATGCTAAGGAAAAATAATTATACGCACATACATAGATACATATACCATATAAGTATGCTGCATTCTATGGCAATTGTCAAACACATACACATAACAACCAAACAGTGGTTTATAAATATGTCTTGCCATAATCATTGTGGATAACAACTCTTGGTCTCAAAGTCCCTTGATATGTAGTATATTCTGTAAGAATCAAAAACTGACGTTGAATACAATAAACACATGAATTACAACATGAATAAAGAATACTTATCGATTGATTCATACTCAGTGAAGAAGACATGACAACTATGGGAACGATCTTCTTCTCTCTGCAACACCAGAATGTTCTTGCTATCAATAGGTCAAGCACGCCATAGAACTTGTGTATTGTGAGAGGAGGGACCGTTTCTTTTATATTGAAGAAACCTCAACACTATCTCTCCTATTATAGATAGAGTAAGAGTTTAAACAAAACTAATATACTTAAGAGATTGAGTCCTAGTCAATATAAACTAACCAAAGTCTGTCAAAACTGGAAGTCTAACAATTACTGATAAACATAAATCTTATTATCTCATTCTAATACGATAATCATAACACGTGATTAGGCTAACTCACATAAGTCATCTTACATATTCTTCCAAAAGTGTTTGGATATTTTAAGCGCCTCTTTAATTGTTATTACCAGCTTTAATAAAGCGATCATGCATACCATACACATTAATATAACTAAAATAGTTTCACTGTTCAAAAGCCTTAGCTAGAAAACATTAAAACCAAACTGAAACTGAGGGAGAAGGTGCTTACCTGAACCTTTTACGAAAGATTGAAGAAAGTAAGCCTTCTTTGGAGATATTCTTGAACCAAAGTCTGCAAAAGTATCTTCTAAACTTCGGGCACTTTTGCCAAAGCCAAAGAATGCTAGTGTTAAGACATTGTCACCCAAGTCTGCAAAGCTACCTTCTACACTTTAGTCTCAGCTTCATACTTGAGTTCCAAGGGATTGCCAAAAGCATCATGATAACACACATCGGACAATGACTTAGCACAAGCACTCTTTGGATTCTCAGCTTGTTGCTTTTCAGCTTCCACATTCTTATCTTTAGCAGTCTCAGCTTCATCCTCAGTTGAAGGTAGCTTTGTAGCACTCTTTGGCTTCTCAGCTTGTTCCACATTCTCATTTTTAATGACATTTCTGAGAAGACTAAGAAGAAGAAACTGCTGAGGATATTTGTTGGAAGCTCGGTTGGTGACCTTGGCCCTCTTCTTGAAGCAGAAATAGGGATTGTCATCAATCCTTGCGATCACCTTTTGGCAGTAGGCTATGAATTTGGGGTGACTTTTATGCAACTGTTGTGGGCAGTCATTTAGAAAAGCAAACAAATGCGAGAAGGTATAGGATCCCTTTGGAAATCAAAGACTGGGACCCTTTATCTTGTCGACAGTTGGCATGAGATAATTACGTTTGTCTTTGGAGCATGTGGTGCTAGGAATAAGAAGCCACCTCATGGTGATATTCTTGAACCTAAGTCTGCAAAGATAAAGAATGATGGTTAAGACATTGTCAGATTCTCGGTTGTATTTTGATGGCTGTAGTGACATTTTTGAACCTAAGTCTGCAAAGCTATCTTATGCACTTTTGGCACTTTTGCCAAAGCCAAAGAGTGCTGCAAAGCTACCTTTAGCTGAGAATGAAGATACATTTGCAGACTTTAGTTCAAGAATATCGCAGTGAGACGACTTAGCACAAGCACTCTTTGGCTTCTCATCTTCAGCAGTCTCAGCTTCACTCTTTGGCTTTGGCAAAAGTGCCAAAAGTGCATAAGATAGCTTTGCAGACTTAGGTTCAAAAATGTCACTACAGCCATCAAAATACAACAGAGAATCTGACAATGTCTTAACCATCATTCTTTATCTTTGCAGACTTAGGTTCAAGAATATCACCATGAGGTGGCTTCTTATTCCTAGCACCACATGCTCCAAAGACAAACGTAATTATCTCATGCCAACTGTCGACAAGATAAAGGGTCCCAGTCTTTGATTTCCAAAGGGATCCTATACCTTCTCGCATTTGTTTGCTTTTCTAAATGACTGCCCACAACAGTTGCATAAAAGTCACCCCAAATTCATAGCCTACAGTCAAAAGGTGATCGCAAGGATTGATGACAATCCCTATTTTTGCTTCCAGAAGAGGGCCAAGGTCACCAACCGAGCTTCCAACAAATATCCTC